TGTTATGTTTCCATGTATGCATGTGTGTTGTGCAGTGCCCATGGAGGTCAAAAGAGAGCTCTGGATCCTCTGGAACTAGAGCTATGGATAGCCGTTAGCCACCATGTGGGTGCTGGAAATTGAACCTGGGTCTTCTGTAAGAACAGTCAGTGCTTTTAACCACTGACCCATCTCTCCAGCCCCAATTTATAGCAATTTAATAGTGAATGTATAGCTCTGTATATGAATATACTGATAAGGGACTAATATGTTAAATATAAAAGAGAACTCAATTCAATAGCAAGAAAATAAATAATTGATTAAAAATAGGCAAAGGGCCATAACAGATATTTCTCAAAAGAAGACATGGTCAATAGGTAGATGAAAAATATGTTCATCATCAGTAATCAGAAAACTGCAAATTAAAATCACAATGAGGTTATCAGTTCTCATCTGTTAGAATGATTATTTCCTTATCAAAAAGACAAAGGCTAATGAGTATTGCAAGGATGGGAGAAAGGGATTCATAGTGGGTGAGAATGTACATTATTATCCACTCTATATAATACAACGCACAGCCAGAACTGCCACATGGTTTAGCATCAAAAGGAAATGAAAACAGAATGCCCAAGAGATAAACTGTATCTCATGTTCATTGCAGGATTATGTACAATAGCCAAAAATACAGAACAAACTTAAGTGTCTATCAACTAAGGAATGAATAAAGAAAACCTAGTAAGCTAGGCACTCAGGAGGCAGAGGCAGAAGGATCATAGCAAAATCAAGGCCGTCCTGGTCTACATAGTGAACATCAGGCTAGCCAGGGTTACACAGTGAGACCCTATCGCAGAAAACCAATCCCCTCCACATAAAACAAAACAAAACTGCCCAAAACAAACAAACAAACAAAGAACAAAATGCACCTAGACACAGTAGAAAACAATCCAATCTTAAAAAGGAATTACCATTTGTGACAACAAAGAGGAAACTGGAGAATATTATGTTAAATGAGATAGGCCTGGAACACAAAGATAAATACTGTATGATCTCACTTATGCATGGAACTGAAGAAAGTTGAACACAAAAGCAGAAAATAGGACAGTAGTTAGCAAGCGTAGTGGGAGGTGTGTGTGTGTGTGTGGTGATACTGGTCAAGGAATGGAAGTTTCGGTCAGGAAGAATAAGCTAAAAACCTACTGAGCTTTCTGAATAAGGATGACCTCCTAAGAGAGAAGTCATCCTGACATCTTTCACCTGTGTGGAGTAGTAATCTATTTAGAGAGTGGGAAAAAAACACATTTCTAATTTGTGAGGATGCTGGCAGATAACCCTCAGGGGTCTGCTTATTATAAGACAGTGGTTCCTCAAGTCTTCAGGAGGCAGAGTACCAGAGATTCAGTACTTTACGAGAATATCCCAACATCACAGGAATTAAGAAAATGTATACTGGCAAAAATAGATTACATGAAATCACAACTTTAAAATTACATCTTAAGGGAAAACTCACATTGCTGAATTAATATGGTAGTTAGATTATTGTTAAATTCTTCATTACTATTGATGGTATCATCAATGTTTCCAAATTTATAAGCATATTTTAAGGTGAGAAGTTATTAACTGAATTATTTTCTACAAATCAGGAAAATATCACAATTCAATTCTGTTGGTAGAATAATTTTCTAAGACACAAGCAAAGTCTGAATATTACTTGTATAAGAAAATTTCACTAGTGCAGTTTCTAATAAGCTTGGGCCTCAATTTCCTTACAGAATAAAAGTCGTGAGTGATAGAATTTCTAAAGCATTAATATTTTAGCAGCTCTTATAGTCAGATTTTTAATAGTCATTAGTATTTTTTCTCTTTTTGTATTTCTTAAAAGCTTAACTAATTTAAAGGGTCTTGAATTCTTCCTGAGCCTTATGAATTTAACATGATTTTAATTTTATGTGCATGAGTGTATTGCCTGCATGTATGTAACTGCACCCTGTTGTGTAATGCCTTAGAGGCCAGAAGAGGGTGTTGGATTCCCTGGAACTGGAGCTGCAGATGGTTGTTAGCTGCTGTGTGGGTGCTGGGAGCAACCAATACTCTTATCCACTGAGCTCTCTCTCCAGCCCCTTAATATGATTTTAAAGAAACTAAAAAATAATTTCTCTATAAGCAGTTAAAAAAATTGAGTTCAATAAAGAAAACTGATGACTACTATATCTTCAAGTTCAATCCATAAACGATTCTGCATCAATAGACAGGCCACTTAAGAAACTCACTGGTTGCAATGGAGGAATAATATTTTACAAAACAAGCAATTAGGTTAATTTTCAAAATTAGCAAAGTCATAGCAGTATATCATGCAAATTACACAACGGCCTTCATATTGTTCTTCCAACTATCAAGAAGTAATGAATAATATGGACTTGAATCCCTCAAAAATGTCACCTGCTGGGGGTATAACTGGAGACTTGGTTTCTATTCTACAAAAAAATGGAAGAAGATTACTTATTTCATACATGCTAATCCCTGGGTATGTACCCAGCATACACTAAAAAAAAAAAAAAAAAAAAAAAAAAAGTAGTCTAATCTCATGCATTAGTTTCTTCTTCTGTTCTTTTCTATCATTCAAACCCTTATCAGACATCTCTTCCTAAAAATTCAGTTGATATCATTGCTTAATTTTAGAACCTTAGAAATCTATCATCTAAATCAAAACCAAACTCTTCCCTGTGGTTCTCAAATCACACTGCTACAGTTTTTATCTCCCTCTTCACTCTACAGATTATGACTGAAGCATTTCTGAACCCATCTGTTAAATGCCTACTCTGTGCCAGAGTTCTTCAATCATATCATACATTATCCAAGGCAGTCTTATAACATAGTAAAAGTAGAAATTACCTTCATTTTAACTAGGAGAAAACTTAGAACATCCAAGGTGATACAAGAGCTAATATGTAGTCTAATTCACAATTTCATGTTCTCAACCAGGACTACATTATCCATTGTCCATTTCAAATACTACTTTCACTGATATCTCTCCTCTCTCTTTTCTCCTCCTTCTCCTCCTCCTCCACCATCACCACAACACTTAGCATATCCACTCTGGCAAAATACTAGGTTGAAGAGAGGGATTATTATATCTTGTTTCTAACAGCAGATCATCAAATATAGGGTTTAATCTAGCAAAGCTTCTGGTGACAGCTTTCCAGCCTTTCCCAAGTGATTTGGATTCCAGTCAAAATACACAAAGTTCAGAATTTGTTATATCACAGATGAATGATTAATTTGGTAACTAGGAAAAATTCTAATTTTGCTTCCAAGTTTTACTCCTTTCTTAAATTTTTAACAGGTAAGACATTCTTAACACAGATGAGTTTACATGGTTAAGGTGAAGCTCCTAAATATGAGGAAGAAAGGGATAGAACTAATGATAGGATGACTGACTTGCCAATATCACCACAAAATGAACTAACCAATCTTTAGTATTCTTGAAAGTTCTGAAGATTATAATTATACAGCACTATTTCAGTTATACATCAGAATTCAAAATTTAGGAAGAAACAGATATCATAGAAAATAAGCTGACATCAGAATGTTATATACAATACTACTTCCAAATATTCCGATTTTCTGAATGCAAACAAGATGTATTTTACCGAAATACCTTTCATTCAAAAAAAAAAAACATGACACATACATGCAATGTATCTCTTTTTAATGGGTCAGCTAAATGGTACTAACAAGGAAAGGAGACAGCATACATAGTTTAAGAGGCTACAAGAACTTAAGAAATAGGCTAGGCATGGTGGCACATGCCTTTAATCCCAGTACTCAGGAAGCAGAGGCAGGCAGATCTCTGTGAGTTCAAGGCCAGCCTCATCTACATAGTGAGTTCCAGGTCAGCTAAGGCTACAGAGACCTCCCCCAAAAGAGAAAGAAATAACAGAATAAAATTTAAAATGCACTCTAGTCTCATAGCATCCACATGACACTTTTGCTTACTTCACAAAGAACAGCTGGAGCACTAACACTAACACTAAGCACTGACTGCATTATACATTTCAATGGCCATCTTTTAAGTGACTAATGAAACCTAGGCAGGCAAGGTAGATGACAGATCTGGGATGCTGATGTGTCAGAAAAAAGATAAGGTATGCTAAAAATGAAACTATTAAAAGCACAAGATGCAATGAGCTATAGCTCCTCACTGCCACCTTTTTAAAAGTGCTTTTTAAAGCTGCTGTTATTGAAGTTTGTTTCCCCCACCTCCACCAAGGAAAGGGTGTCTTAATGACTATTTTCTGGTTTCTCTTTCTGTCAACCAAGCACCTTTTCCACTTGAATGTCACAAAATGTCAACTTTTAAATAAACTTTCCTTAATGGACAGTATTCAAAGACTTTAAATGGACATGCCTTTTTTCTTTCTTCATTTTTTTTCAATGCTTCCATCACCACTTATTACCAAGAGAAAAAAGAAAAACCCAATACAGAGCTTTGCTTTACTCAGCATCACTGTGACTGCTTTTCAGCAGCATATTAGTATGACATTGCAGAGGCACTTGTAATGAAATGTTTCATAATACAGTATGTATTAATGTTAGTACAGTGTATTAATATTTTCTTTATGGTCAATTATAATATTCCTTTATCAACGCTGACAGATGTCAAGTTCACATTGAAGAATTAGATACTTTCAGATTTCCTTTTGCAAGACAGTTCCACATTACTAGATGTTTGTATGCAGAAAGATAAGTGGTCAGTGGATTTTTAAAAGTATTCTCATAAAAACTTACTATTAAGGTTTCTGGAGATTAAAAGTAGATTTTTTGGAGACAGGGTCTCCCTGTAGCCCCAGCTACAGGGTGGCCTTGATCTTAGAGATCTACTTGCATTGGCCTCCTGAGTACTGGATCTAAAAGGCATGTGCCACCGAAAAAGAATATTTTGTAAGAATATCATTCTTTTGTGAGAAAACTTTTAAATGTTAAATACATAACAAAAGGGAGAAGCTTTGGCTATGTTTCCTTACCTCAGGAGCAAACATGGTCTCATAGGTAGGATTATACTGAACTTCTTTGACAGCAGGGTCAAGGTGAACTCCAGTCTCCAAGTCTTCCTAAAAGAAAGTCAAATGATTGTCAAAAATTTAAGTGATTATTATTTTAGGAGCTACATCAAAGTCATAGCTGCTTTAAAAATTTATTGTTTTATTTACTTTTTAAAAATATTTATTATTTTTATTTTATGTGTATGTGCCTGCATGTATATAAGTGCTCTAGTGTCATGCAATGCCTGTCAGAAAAAGGCATCAGATTCCTCCTGGAATTACAGATGGTTGTTAGCCACCATGTGGGTCCTGAGAATCGAACCTAGGTCCTGTGGTGATCTTCCTCCCTCACCCTCCTGAGTGTGACGGTTACAGGCATAAGCCACCACACCAGGCTTAGAAACATGTTAACATGTAAAACATATAGGACTACAAAAGAGAGAACTATTCTTTTTTTAAAATTTTTTTATTTATTATTTTTATTTTATGTGTATGTTGCCTGCATGTAGGTAAGAGCACCTGTGTCGTGCAATGCCCGTGGAGGACAGAAGAGGCTGTTGGATTCCCTGGAACTGGAGTTATGGACAGTTGTTAGTTGCCATGTGGGTGCTGGGATTCAAACCTGGGTCTTCTACAAGAACAATCAGTGTTCTTAACTGCTAAGCCATCTCTCCAGCCCTGTTCTATTTATTTTTATGTGTATGAGTATTTTGCCTACATGGATGTAAGTGTGCCATGTGCATGCAATGCCCATGGAGGCTAGAAGGGGCATCAGATATTCTATAATTAAAAACAGTTATTAGTCATCATATGGGGTTCTGGGAACCAAACCTGGGTCCTCTGCAGGAGCAACCAGTGCTCTTAACTGTTGAGCCATCTCTTCAGCCCTAATACATCAGCTTTTTAAATACCAATTTTATGACTATTACATCAGTATTGTACCATTAATGATTATAATAAAGATTAATGAAAGCAACATGCCAATATATAGTTTTACACATAAATATAAATTCTTTCTTTTCAAAATACTGACATTATTAATGAAAAATTTCTAAATAAGTTACTACTATCTAAAACACTTAAAGAAATTCTAACTCTTCTTTTTGTTAACCCAAAAGACCTGATTCTCTACATTGAAAAGAGGCACACTAGGAAACCTACTCCATGTATACAGAGGTTGGGTACCCAAGAGGAAACAATGTGGCAGGGCTTGAATCTTCCTAATATAAAGTTTCATAAACCATACCAATGTTTCAACCTTCTTAAATTAACTCCCCAGGTTAAAGGACACAGATTTCCTCATTTCCATGAGAATCACTGGCAGTCTGTTTTTGTAACCCTACCACTTACAAATATATTGATTCTCAAATCGTTGTCTCCAGCTGGGACCTCTCCCTTGAATTCTAGAGATTCATATCTAACTATGGATTTGCCAACTTTTCTCCCAGTGTCTTAACACAGATCTCAAGTACTCCTGGCCCTCTTCCCCCAGTGAATCCTTACAGGCACTCTGCTGAAAATCTCAAGTTGTCCTTTACTATTCTTTCTTCACACTCTATGTCCAATCCATTAGAAAATCTGCCATCCATCCACATACATATGGAATTCAACTCCATATATCCTCTTTCCACTACAAACAGCACCTTACATCTGAGTTATTTTGGTGGCTTAACCAGCTTCCCTGTTTTCTGCACTTGCCACCCCATGGCTTCTACATAGAAACCAAGTGCAATCCTTCCAAAATGTTAGTCAAACCATCACCCTATGCCCTAGTAGCTCCCCTATTCATAGTCAAAGTCTAATAAGGGCTTATGGGGTGGGTGGGGTGTGTGTGTGGATATAACTCAGTGATAGAAGGACCCTTTCCTAGCATGTGTGGTGCTCTCAGTTTTTTGGAATGTTCCTTCCCTGGATATCCACAAAGTTATTCTTTCTTCTTTTAAGGCTCTGCTCAAAATTTTTCTGCTTTTTCCTTCTTTTGCTTTATTTTTCCCCATTATATTTACCACTACCTGACATAAACAGCTCTACTGTCACTAAAATGTAAGCTGCACAGGTGATTTTGTACAAACAAATAGACAACCAGCCCTTAGGACTATGTCAATCATATCATCATCTTTGTTCTGTTGGCCTAGTGATGGTAGGATACATCCATTCACACGGTGCATGGGCAATACAAAGTAACAATGCAAGTCTGCAAACAGATGGGATTTCCAGAAGCTAACCATGATACTGTAGAAGCAGCAATACTACAAGTGAAGATCTGGGTAGAGAGGTAGATGATTGAAGACTAGAAAACTGAACAAAAAAAAAAAGGCACCATAGGCATACGCTTAATGTTCCAAAAATCTTAGCATTCTGAAAATGTCTCACAACCTCCCTTTTACTAAGACAGGCTACTTAGTCCCCTACTTCTCAAAGATATAGAATCAATCAGGTATGATTTCCTTCCCTCCTCTGTAATTTCAAAATTGTCCATTTCCTTTCCTTACCTTATCTTATCCTTCTCATGACTTCCAGTTATACCCCCTTCCCCAGTCCGGATTCCATTTCTGGCCTTTGGACCCTCACAGCTAAGTGCCTAGAGAATTTCAATACATATGGATGTCACAGCATTAAATACTATGGTAAAACCCTATTATTTCCCCCATGACTTCTTCATGAACAAGTCAGGCATGGTGTGCATGCCCATAATCTTACTACCAGAGAGGCAGAGGCAGGAGGATTATGAGTTCCAGGCCAATCAAAGGCATGTTTATTCTAGAAATAACCTAATTGTAGGTAATAGGGGGCAGAATCCAGGGTACAGTTGGAAGCACTAGCATCTAAAAAGAGGTAACAGGTAATAGGTGAGATGCTGGGAGACACTGGCAGTCACAGGAATCTTTTCATTTTCTTTGTATAGTTAAGGCACAAGGACATTCACAAAAGCAAGTACAGGAACTTCAGATTCATACATTCACTCAACAAATACTGATTGTGTGTCTGCTGCATGCCAAGCACTGTTCTAGGTCTACAGAAATAGACAAAGGTACCTGCTTTTGTGGTTTCAGTCTAGTGCAGAAGACAGAGAGTAACCCATATAATAAATTATACAGTTTGCTACGAGAGGATAAGTACTATGAAAAAAGGAATTTAGCAATACTAATGTGGTAGCACTAGGGTGAATAAATTATTTCCCATACTCTTTTTTTGGGGGGGGAAGCAGAGCACAACATTGGGCATCATTCTTTGGGCTCTGCCCATTCTTTGGGCTCTGCCCATCTTTATGTATGTATATGTGTGTGTGTGTGTGTGTGTGTGTGTGTGTGTGTGTGTTGAGACAGGGTCTCTACTGTCCTGGAACTTGCCAATAGGCTAGGCTGGCTGATTAGTGAGTCCCAGTAATCTGCCTCTCTCCCTTTACCCAGCGCTGCGATTACAAGTGCTCACTCATGCCTAGTTTTTTATGAGTTCTGGGGATCTAACTCAGGTCCTTGTGTCTGCAAGCCAAGCACTTTACTGAGCTATCTCCCTAGCCCATTTCATTTAATTTTTACATCATTTCTATGAATTAAGTTATAAGCAAGATTAAGTCACTTACTCCAAGGTGCTAACAGAATTAATGATAATGAGGAAAGAGTTTAAAGTCACTATAATGAGAGGTCAAGCAGATGACTCTGGGTAAAAGCCATGTGCCACCAAGCCTGACGACCTGAGTTTGACTGTCAGGACTCACAAGGTAGAAAGAGTTAAACAACTCCTGAAAGTTGTCTTCTGACCTCTGACACCATGGTATGTGTCTGCTCTGCCCAACACACATACAAATTTAAAAGAAATGTTAAAAAAGTCAAGAAATCATAGTGAAAAATATCAGAACAAATAAGCAAATGAACTCTGATGTATCAGTCCTAGTTGTAAGCAACAGAAATCTTGACTGATGAAATAGTATTGAATTCTTATACGTTTCTCTTAGAATTGCTAGGAAGGACAGAGAATCAGCTTTAAGATGAAGGCATATGGAATCATAATTCAAAACAGTCATATTGCAGAGCCAATCCAGTGAGGACAATTTATTGTGACTGAATATCACTACTAACCTGCAATAGACAGTAACAGGTGTCACTAGATTCTGGCTGGTGAACAACTATTGCCCGGATTACTAAGTGTTGGCCACCACTGCCACTTAAAATCTTCTATCCTTGTTTCTTTGTGTATTTATTTCCAACTATCAAGTTCAGGTGGATATATTTGTTTGGCTGGGCCCAAATTATAGTTTTGACCTGAAAGGGAGCTGGTGAATGGGAATCTGGGGTTTCACTTTCTGAAGGTGGGTGGTGAACAGAAACTTCTTTACAACAACACTCTTATGTCAAGGGGCTGAAATGCTGGGCCACCTGAAAGATGACAGCTATATGTGTACTACCTAGTCTCTTCCCTGATTAGACCTAGAATTGTGCCTCAGCCCAATGTGAAACCTATACTATAAAGCGAACGATTACACATTGCTTAAACTGCATAAAAGTCAAATTAAATTAAATGTTGTTTCCTCTAAACATCCAACTCCTGGAGCAAACTACCTAAAGGAACAAGTGGCTTAGCCACTCTCCTGTCCCTCAATGAATTTTACACAGTAGAGTTGCCAGAACCACTTTTAATAAGGATTACCAGATCTTCCAAATTATGGGTATTTAAAGATTCTAAATTTTAATTATTGTAAACAGGGTATTATGAGACATCAACTTTTAAATACAAGGTGCAATTAAAAATACCTTTTATAATGACAACAATGGCAACTAGATCTTAATCTCACACAACTAGATCTTAATCTCTGGCTCCTGCAAAAATCACAGAGTGAACTGAACAACTCTCCAGAAAGAGTGGCTAGTTTACATTTAACTTGAAAAACATGGGCACACTACAGTCTTGTTTAGATCTCAGGAGGACTTCAATGCCAGTCAGGCATGCAATTAGAACTACCATAGAATTCAACTACTCCTTGAATCACAAAGAATTTCTATTCAGTTTCAACACAAAACTTCAAGTGCAGTAACTGAAGGACACACTGTGGGTCAAATAAATTTAACACC